CTAACTGTGCTCACCAGGCACAGTTAGTAGGCCTCTGGGTGTGTCTGTCCCTGGGGGTCGCCTGGTAAATCCTCACTCCTGCAGCGCCGGTGTTTGGCTCTGCCTGCGCCTGCCGCTTCATCTCCTTTTGTCCCTGGGCCCGGCCCCCTCCTGCACTCTGGAGCATCTCAGCTTCTCTCTGGGTGGTCTTTGCCCCCAGTTCCCTGGAAAGGACTTTCTCCTGACACCAGTGTCCCCTCTGCCAGAGCCACTGATGCTCTGTCTTCATCTTACCCTCCCTGCCACCACCCCTTTTTCTTGAACAGCCCACAGCCCACGTGTTCTCCCGGCCTCACTGGCCGCTCTGCTGTTTCCTCTGGGGCCTAAAGTATCAGTGGGCACAGAGCTCAAGTCTGAACTCCTGTCCCTTCAGTTTTCTTTTGGGGTTCCAGTCCCCAGGCTGTACATACTGGGGAAACATTATTGTCTCTTCCCACCCCACTCTCATCCCTCCCAAGCCTCACCCCAGCCTCAGTTCCCGTCACAGCCTGCTTGCCTCTCTCTGGGCATGTCTGACCTCACACTTGATGTCCACACCAGACCTTCTCGTTCACCTCCTCCGAGCCTCAGGCCCCAAGTGTGTGGGCAGTCTGGTTCCTCTCCTTCCCTCACACCCACAGGGCAGCCCCTGGCCAGTCAGGGTCACCCTGGATCTTGACACCTGTCCCGCTCTGGGAGCCAACCTTACCAGCGGGCAGCACCAGCCTCCCTCTATGTGTCTTGGTCCCACGGGCCCCTCCATCTATCTTCCCACAAAGCCAGAGGGACTTTTAAAGCCTAAATCAGATCATGCCACTCCCTGTGATTTAAACCTTCCGGGGGCTTCCCTAAAATTGAGCCTCAAATTGCCTGTCACTTCCCATTGCTTGCCATGTTCTGGCCACAAGACCCCCTTTGTCCCTTAAGACACCAACCTCACTCTTGCCTCTGGACCTTCGCACTTCTGGTTTCTTCTGCCTGGAAGCCTCTCTCCTGTATCTTCCCATGGCTCCTTTTCTGCATCCTGGCCTCTACCACAATGGCACCTTCCCAGACGGCCTTCCCTGACCACTGCCAAAGCGCCCCCTGACCCCCCAGTCCTTCACCACCTTCCTCATCTTCGTGCTTTCAAGGCTGAGCACCTTGGTAGTTGGACCTCTGAGTTTGGGGCCTGTGTTCCCAGCGAGGTGAGCCTTTGTGGGACAGGCCTTGCCCACTGTTGTCCAGAATGGCATCTGGTGCACAACAACTGCTTAATAAATGTTGTTGGCATGCTCCTGTGGCCTGTGTCTCACCTGGTCGGGCGCATCTGGACCCTTGCCCGCTCTGTTCTGAAGCCAGGGCCTGGAGGTGAGTCCTTCCCAGCCTGGTGGACGTGCCCACTGGCTGAGTGACTTTGGGGACACTTCTCAGACCTTTTCTTAGCTGACATTTCCTCCTCTGAGGCGGCAGGGGAGGTCACACCCCTCCATGCCCGGTGTGGATAGGACACCTTGCCTGGTGCAGTCAGCCTCAGCAGATTAGTGGGAGGGTGCAAGGATGCCTCCAAGCCCCTCCCTTGGAATCCTCTGGGTCTCTGGGACCCAGATCTTGGGTGGGCACTACTGCCCTACTCCGTAACAGTCCCATGCTGTCACCTGTGACCCCAGGTCCAGGAGAGATGTCAGGGGGCCCTGGGGTCTGGCCTGGGGCTCAGATAAGTGGTGCCAGTATGTGTCTTGTGTGGACAATTTCCAGTTCAGGGGGTCACACCCATAGCCCAGAGAGGAAACCGGGCCCAAGGTAGTGCTTGCAGGCAGCCAGATTGCTCCAAGGACAGCAGATGCCCGGCCTCTCCCTCCCCTGCAAAGCCAGAAGAGGCTCCACCAGTCCTTCTGCCTACTTAGCCTCCCTCCCATAGGCCGGGCCTGGAGTCAGGTCGGAGCTCGCTTGCCTGGGCCACAAATGCTTCCCGTCCCACCACCAGTTCCTGTCCATGGATTCCCCATCCTGGCCGCTCTTTTCCCTCAGACATGTATCCGTGGGCCCAGCACTATGTCTATGTAGGCAGAGGCATTGGGCCTGAGTGGATAGGGTGCATGCTAGAAGCTACCACCCAGTCCCTGCCTCAGGGTCCCTCAGCTCTGGTGCCTGTCACCTGAATGCCTCCCCGACAGGCACATGAAATCACCCCTCGTGGGGACCAGATCCTGAAGGGGCAGGGTACCCTCTGGAGCGAGGACAGGCCATGGGGTGGTGGCCTGGGTCCCCTTCTGGCTGCTGGCCACGGGGGAGCAGTGGCACAGTTCCCAGACAGGCACACCCAAAAGCCACTCCCCAAGGGCACCGCCAGGCCCAGAGAGGTGAGCCTACCACTTATGCACGGCGCCCAGTCTGAGACGAGCTGCTGTGGGTGGGCATGGGGCCCTGCACCCCGGCAGCAGCAGGTGGCCAGTCCTCATTCTGGGGTGTGTAGGGCAAGGCCTGGCCCTTCCTGGTGGGAGGTGATCAGTGCTCCAGTGCAGATGGGGATCTACTGTGCTCCCTGTCTCAGCAGAAGAGGGAGGAGCTGCCCACCAGGTGGGCTCTTAGTAGGACCCCTCCTCACCCCTGCCTCGGGGAAGGCTCCTGGCGCCCATGTGAGGCTTTCTGTGCACCTTCCTGGTTTCCTGAAGTTTAGCAGTGAACTCCTAAGACTGAACTTTCAGGTAAAGAACATGCAGTTTTGGCTCAGGCCCTGCCCACGGCTCTTATGCCGCACATGGGTGTCCTGGGGCTGTCCCCTTCCATGCCAGTCAGAGCAGCAGTTTTCTGCCCTGGAGGCATTGGGACACTTAAATACATGATGCCCGCCTCAGAGACTTGGGTTCAAACAGTTGGCCTTAAGGGATCAGTATTCTTAAGTGCCCTCGGGGGATTCTCCTGGGCAGCCAGAGCTGAGTCACTGAGCCAGGGGGTGGAGCTGTGACAGTTCGGGGTAGAAAGCTCTGGAGCCCACATCTCCTCCTCCAGGGCCTGTGGGTCCAGTGTGCTCTCCTCAGAGGTCAGATGGTGTCCATGCCTGGCCTTGAGCAGCCTGCTGACTATAGGCAGCAGCCCAGGCCACTGGGCCAGGAAGCATCCCGGGTTGCTCTGGGGATTCTGCCACAAGCCCCCAGCGCCCCCCACCCATAAGCTCCCCAGGCACGCCTTCCCCACACGCCTGCTTCCTGCCATTTCAGTCCTGGAACAGACACAGTATGGGCTCAAACGAGAATGTTAGGAGGTGAAACCTCAGTGTGCCCAGTGCCAAGTAACTTCGTGATTAGCAGTGCTTCCTTCCCACCTACTCAGGGGCTCTAAGGACACTCACTGGGACACCTCAGCTCCAGGGGCAGCCACAGTTGTTTGCTTGATGTGAAGGTGTGAAGCAGTCTGGGGGTGTGGGGGCGATGCCAGAGGGAGAGGCGGCCGGGGAGCAGAGCAAGGAGAGAAGGGATAGAGGGACAGCCTAGGAGCAGAACCGGGGGAGGAAGCAGGCGTGACCTCTCTGTGGCCAGTTGCTCCACTGTGGAGAGGGCACTGAGGGGCACGGCAGACTAATTGTGGGGGACTTAAGGTTTTGTCTCTGGGCGAATGTTAGGTCTCCTGGGCTGACACCACTGTGTCCTGTGCTGTTTGGGATGAACACATATGCTGGTAGGATACTGTACCCTTATGCTATAGGCAGAACAGACTGCAGAGCACTGTCTCATGCTTCGGCTTTCTTATCCATGAGGGGATGAGATGGGGACAAGACCTATCTGAGGAGACTGTTGACCCTGGTGATGGTATCTGAACCACGTATTGTTACAAGAAAGTGCTCCTGAGAGTGGTGAGGCCACGCTCAAGGCTCTGCCAGAGTGCCCAGCAGAGGGGGCTGGCTGTCCCCTCACTTTCCTGTCCAGAGAGGCTGGGCTGAGGCCGATGTCTGTAGGATGTCCCACTGTGAGGGCCCATCTTGCATATCCTTACTCTTTCCGACTCTTGTCCTGCTTCATCTGGTAATCAGAGCCTCTCAGCCAGTGTACCCAAGAGCTGTGGGTTCAGGTACCCACACCATGGGTTAGGTGGCACACATTTAGGGGTACACAATGCCTCAGGGGGTATGGTGGGGGCTGCGTTTGGAAGCCTGCTGGCAGGACTGGAACCCTGGTGGGAGGGTGGTGAGCCAGACTGCTTCTGTTGGGGGGACGGAGCTGGGGACCTAACAGAGTCGGGAAGAATGGTTTTCCAGCTCCCCCTGGGGTCCCTCAGCCCTGCCCTTATCCGCAGAAGACCCACAGTGCTGGTGTGAGGCTGTGCGGGGGGAGAGAACGGAGGCTACAGTGAAGAGCGCTGCTGCTAGAGGAGCAGGCCATCCATGAGAGAGCGCTGTTCCACGCGTTTATTTCTGGCAGGAGGGAAATCACTGCAAACCTCTGGACCAATACCTGTCCCTAGAAACGTGCACATTCCACGTTTAGTATTTCCCCAAAAATGCTGAATTGTTTATCACATTCAAACATCCAATAGGAGTTCACACCCACCTGGAGAGCAGCCTCCACTACTTGGTGGGGTGTGAGTCTGTGGAGATGCTCCCTGGAGAACGGAACAGGAACTGATACCAAACACATCTATAGTGAAGTAGGCACAGAGGCAGCAAGTCAGCTTTGCACAGGTAACTGCCAGCACTTCAGGCTGCCCACACCTCTCGAATGCTGGCATGCCAGCTGTCCATCACAGCACCATTAAAGGTGGAGGCACAAACATCACAAGTGTTTGTCCACAGGCTGTGTGGCTCTGTATTTTATTAGAAAGCCACCTTTAAAATACAGGGTGGTAAAATGTTGTCAGGTTATAGACTTACAGATTTCCTTTTTATACTAAAAGTTCGGATGCTGCGACCATGACAAGTCAGTGTCCTCTGGGCATCCTCATGTCTCCAGGACATCTCATCAGAACGGCACCATGTCAGAGGAGCTTCCCCACCAACAGTCAGCCGAGACAGACACTGTTCCTTTATTTGTGAACAAATGCACTGTTTACAAACAGCTAACGGGCCCAACGACAGACCAGCAGGGAGGATTCCAGAGCAGTAACAATGTCAGACAAGCATGGCACCTCCACTCAAGGCCTGGCCAGTGAGGTCTTAACATCATAGAGGCCAGAGTCCATGACCCAAGGTATCCTGTCCCAGATCTTACTGTAGAAAATATTTGCCCAGGAGACTATATTTTAACCTGGTACAGAAAGGACCATGGAAACTCAAGAGTCAGATTTCCCTTTTGGCTAAAGAGTTGGGGGATGTTTTGATAACATGGGAAGTATATGGCACAGAGAAATAGCTAATAGGTGTCATTCGGTTTTAAAGCCCACAATTTAATAAAAGGTAATAATTAAAAACAATACCCGTATTTACCTTAAAAAACATAAACCCCAAACATTCATCTCATTTCTTGGCCTGTTAGAATTCTATTGCTTCATTTACATGTAGATGATTAAAAATATATATAGAGATATAGATACTCTGATTATGTACATAAAGCAGAATTGAGGGTTAAAATAAAAATGGAATTTTGGAGTGTGGTCAAATAAGGTGCACAGAATCCTGAACCCCCAGAGGGTTTGTGGCCCTCCCGAGACATTCGGTGTCTGTGGCGGCAGGAGCCAGGCTCCGTCCCCAGTGGCTCCACACTGGGTGGGTGCAATGGCACTCACCGTTCCCGGAACTACTAGGCGAAGTGTCTGGCTCAAGATTGCCAAGTGTCTTCACTCCATCTGTCAGAAGTGGGGCACTATGCCTAGGCTCGATTCCCCTGAAGTATTCTAGAATTTCTGTCCTCTCTACCCCTATCCAAACATGGCCTTGGATGCCGAGAAAGAAGGGGGCATGGGTGAGGGTCTAAGGCTCTCATTAGGACTGATTTCCATGTGGATTTTAACACAACACAGACACTTGACTGCGACATTCAAGACATTTAAGGCAGTGGGTTCATTTAATGACTAGTTTTCCCAATTGAGGTCTATGGCATGTGCTGGTCTGCCACGGGACTGTCATCTGTGGTAATAATGCCTAGCAAGCGGCTGTTTGATTTTAATTGGCATGTGGATTACTAGGTTCAGAACACTCAGATGGGGAGACCTGGTTATCCCTGAATGCTTATTTCTCTTCTGAATGCATGGCAGTCCACAGGCCAAAGTGCTATTGGCAGGGTATGATTGGCAGCTGGCTTCATTATATCATCAATGAAAACAAAAAAAGGATTTTACTTTGACCCCCAGTTTCTGGTCTCTTAAGTGCTAGTTGCTGCCACCAGAACTCTGGCAGAGGCCCATCCCATGGAGGACTAAGGCAATGGTGCCAACACAAAAAGGTTCTCTTCAATTGTTTTTAAGAGCAATACTTTAGAGACTTTCTTGTTGTCAAACAAGGAACATGGCATTGCTTAAAACAACTCACTGGGAAAGGCTGCAAAGGGAGCTGGCTCAGGGTGACCTCCAACCCTTGGCTCAGAAATAGGCTTTGCTTCAAAATAGAAGCCCTAGAGATGGACGTGGGCTGCGTCAGCATGGTGGCTGGTTGAAGCCACAGGTTCTAAGGAGAGAATAGTCAGCTGATCACAGGATTTGATGTCGACTTCAGTTTAAAATGAATGTGACACCCCTGAGGTGCACTGGCCCTCTTGTCCTTGTGCCCTTCTCAACTCCCACAGCCAATGCCAGGGAAGGAGGCCGTTGGTACAGTCTGCAGTTGGGTGGCACACCTATGTTTCTGACCCTGTCCAAGTTTGCAGCTTAGCAGTGAGCAGATTCTGAGCATAGGCACAGTGGCAAAGAACAGTGTGACAGCTGCTGGTCAGTCCCGTTTGGTGGCAGCGCAGTAGCAGCAAAGAAAATTCCCAAACAGTTCCATGTACATCCAGCTTTTGGAAAGGAAATATTTAAAAATCAATAAACAGATTTTTAAAAAATATCCAAGGGTTTTAGAGTTTCTTGTAACTGCTCTGCCCAAAACATGGCCAACAAAACAACTTATGGAAGCATGGCAGTAGTGTGAACGCAGAAGTGACATGACGTCACTTTCAAGGGGAAAAAGGTGACCTCAGGACAAATCTGTGACCATCAGAAATAATAATGATTATAATACAAAAGAATCTTTGTTTCCTCAAGTGTCAAGCCACACAGTTGCAGATACATTCCACACTGGGTCAGAAATGAATGAAGACACCGACATGGTCATAAAAGCTCCCATCAGGAGCCTGACCCTGCAGCATGCCACAGGTCGTCTGAGCAGTCACACCTGTTGGGAGAAAGGCTCCTATGACTTCCTAGCCACCCCTACCCTACCCGGTTCTAGAAAATTGTCATATTTATCTCTTAGAGAATCTAAGACAATAAAAGACTAAAAGATGTCTGGAAACATGTTGTGTAGAAAAATTAACTCTCAGCTTAAAATAACATTCAAAAAGGCACTTCATCCTGTAGGAAGAGATTCTGAGTTGGGTCAGCTGCTCCAAGCTGGGAGAGAAGGGGACAGGTTGTCTGCTTGGAGGGAAGGACAGTTGAAAGGAAGTTCAATAGATATCAAGCTTTTTTTTTTCCTATTTTTTTTCCTTTTTGGTATGTTTTAAGAAAAGCAAATTCAGTAAAATGCATGTCCCTTTATGAAATCGTTAAAAGAGTTCACTTTAAAATAGTTGTTTCTGTTCTTAAAAAATAAAACAGGTAGGTATGGCCACATTCACCCCATGGTGTGGAGCAAGGAGCAGCCTCCCATGGAGCTCCCAGGGAGCTGAAGCCAGGCAGGTCCCCGAGGCCGGAGGTCCTGGAGAGCACAGGTGGGAGGCCGCGCTACCTACTGCAGAGTCCGTGCAGCATGCTGTACACGTCGTCCTCCCGGCTCAGGCCCTCGAAGAAGGGGATGAGGTCCAGCAGCTCTGTGTCCGTCATGTCATCGAACCAGGACTGCACAGGCACCTGGAAGACAGAGCCCGCAGGGGCAGCAGAACTGCGTCCAGTGCTGGGGGCTGCTCCTAGCCTGACTAGGACCCTGACTTATGATATTTTCTTTGAGGAGGATGGGTATCCGAAATCATCATCATCATCATCTTGTTTATTCCCCTGTCCCAGCTAAGATCAATCGAAAGCTACCTGGTTTGGGAGATGGCGCAGGAAGGTCAGGGTTAAGTGCATCCAGTTTGTGTGCATTTGCCTGTTTTACTTTCCTGCTGCTGAAAAGGTGGCCAGAGCACAGAATATAAGAAGATTAGCCTTGCTACTTGCCAGTTTTAAAAAGTTCTTTCCGTTGCATCAAACCAGCTCCTGGCACCTCAGAGCACTTGGAACCGGAAGTTACCTGCCAGCCACCAACAGCAGGCAGTGCAGGGCACAGGAGGGCTTCCATGTGGGGACTCTGTGCCAGGCTGCATGGCATGGGGAAGTGGAGATTTCCTCCCTTGCTCTCCCCTGCTTAGCAGTGAACAGTTAAAAGATTATACAATGTCAGGATGTTCTGAAGCCATGGCCAAAGGGTGGACTTTTCCTTAGCTTTAGAAAGTGTGGTAGTATGGGGTAGCCAGGGGTACAAAGAAGAGATTCAAAAAGAAATTTGGGGAAATAAAAAAAGTTTAAAAGTAATATTTTTGACTCTTTTACAAATCTAAAGACTGCTTAGAAACCTAACAATTTCTTATGTAATAAAAAAATAAAAAAGGTAAAGATTAACAAAAAACTGACTTCTTCTGGGGGGAGGGGCATGAATGGGAGAGAGGACAGGGATGGTCATGGACTTCTCTAAATTCTTATTCACTGACCACATCAATGTTGGAACCAAGTAAATGTATTACATAATTGAAATAAAACTAAACCCACTAAGAAAAAAGCAATAAAAAAATGAACCTAACTATATATAAAGTTGGTGAGATAACCAGAGACTTATTTCAAGTGATTTTAAAACACTGTGTTCTGTTTGTACATCTTCTAAAACACCCTAAATACATTCAACTGTCTTGTTATTAGTAATAATATTAGTGCTGCTATTTTGGAACTATTAAACTTAATGCTATAGAAAAATATCAGTATGTATTGCTGTTAATATTTTTAGGAATCAAGAGTTTCAGCCTAAAAGAAGTAGATACAAATACAAAAAAACAAAGAAATTAGATAAAAACTCTGCTATAACACTGAACTGGAAAAACCAATATGCACTTATGATTTAGTTTTCATTCTAAAAATATGTATATTTTAGCTCCATCCAATAGAATGGGCTAGAAGTGAAGGACATCTCAGTAACAATGACAGCCTACCCAAACTGTGGTTTGTAAATACCATTTCCACTAATGGGGACCAGGTTCCACAGAAAAATGGCTCATTCCAGGGCTGCAGCAAGAAACGGACAAGAGGAGCCTGGAACATCTTGTTTACCAGAGAGCAGGAAGCTACCAGAGACTCTGGTTATTTGAAGGGGTGTCTACTGGCCAAAGGCGGACATTTGAGCATACAAAATAATAATAAGTGGATTAAGTTGTAACAATAAAAAACCCCGCGAATTCATGATACCTAAAAAAAATCATTGGTTACTTTTGGAGCTTGCTAGAGCACCAGCTCATTACTCTGAAAATTGTGGAATTAAAGAAAAAGAACAAGACTATCCTATTCAAATACTCAAACTGAATTTCAGGATAATCAAGTAGTTGATGAGGGTGAGTTTAATTTTTGAAAAAATGGAATTCCAGCCAATAAACGCATAAAGAATGATAGAATTTAGAAACTACTATTTTGCAATTCCTAATGAAATAGGGGATGTCGGCAATGGTCATGAAGAAAGCTCACATTTTAAGTGTAAAGTTGATGGGGAATTTTAAATTGGATGGATGGGCTAACAACACTTGAATCTAAAGATAAATTTAAAATCTTTGAACGTGGGACAACCTGACATTATATGCATGCTGATGTGCTACCACCATTAAGTTATACAACATCTCCTGTGATGTATCCTTTAAAAAAAAAAGGCAACTGAAACTGAATCTAATCCAGTCATGGAGATCTGCTTGTTTACAGGAAATACAGCCACTAGAGCACAATCTATTCATCACCAGCAGGCAGCGGCAAAAGACAAGCACAGAATGTAGCAAATTTCTACAGGACAAATAACCAGAATTTCTTCAACAAATAAACAGCATGGAAGAGAAAGGGAGGAAGAGGGAGGAGTGTTAAGATTATAAAAGAATTAAGAGACACATTAACCAAAGCAATGTGTGGACATCATGCGGATTCTGATTCAAACAATTCAAATATAAGAAAACATTTCAAGATGATAGGGAAAATATGAACACAGTCTGGATATTAGGTAACATTAAGAAATTATTAGTTTTGTCAGACATGATAATGGAACTGTGATTCTATTAAAAAGTATTTGATTAAGTCATTAAAATGAACATATTTAAATGTAGTAAATTTTGAATGTTTATGCAAGTAATGATCACACAGCAACTGACTCAATCTAGTTTGAAGGCATTTTTTGGTTTTAAGTGGAGCAAAAGAGTTCTGGACTCAAGGAAAGGCCCCCCTGTAGGTTTTTGTTGGGTCTGAGAAGTCTGGGCCTGCAGGCTCTTCTCCAGACCTGCCTGAGCTGAGGGCAGGGTCACCATGGGCCTGGCCGACCTCTTCTGACCTGGGGGTAGGAGGGCTTCTCTCTTGTTCTGGGAGCTGTGCTGCACCCAGTGAGTAGGGTCCATGTTCGCCAGGCTCCAGGGAGTTTATGTAGGAGATGTGCCCACTGTGCCGCTCTTTAGACTTCTGATGGTGCATAAGGCCTGGCAGCCTTGTCTGAAGATCTTATTGAAGTGCTGTATATTCATTTTTCTTTAGGAAGTAAGTCTGCCGCACAGGGCACCAGGCCTCTGAGCCTACAAGGGTCATGAAGGTCTGAAGCGGCCAACCCCAGGATGCTAATGATAGGCTCTGCTCAGCAGTGACACTGCAAAGGCTGGGCTGAAGCCACCTCCCCTTGTTCCTGAGTACCATTCCAGGGCTTCTCACCTGTAGCACAAAACTCCTTCAACCATCTCCCCAGAGCCTGCCGGAATCCCCGTTTGACAGGTGAGCGGACTGATACCCTGAGGGGTCAAATACCTCGGTCAGTGGCAGGTGCATGCAAAGTGGATCCTGCACGGAGGAGCGGGTAGGAGCTCCTGGGCACAAAGCATCACCTGCCTGGCAAGGCCAAGCTGGACGGCAGTGTCCCTGTGGGCTACTCACTGCATTCTCGGGGTGGAAGATGTACGAGGCGGGGGAGTTGTCCACGATGATCACCTTGCTCAGCTCCCGTCCAAGGCGACTCAGGTCTTTCACGTAGTTCCCACGATGGAAGACACACGACTCTCTGAAGAGCCGAGCCCGGAACACACCCCAGCGGTCCAGCAGGTCAGCCACAGGGTCTGCGTACTGCAAGGCAGGCGCTGTGGTGAAGGTGGGCCGGCAGCCCCTGAGGCAGGACCAAATCACACTCTTCTAATGCACCTTGGCCCTGGGGCGCATTGTCGGGCCCTGACCCTGTTCCTGACTGTCAGTGCCCTGGATTCCTCCAGTTCTTGTACCTCTCATGTCCAAGCCCCCTACAGTTTTTGTCAGGTCCGTCCCCAGAAATACCCTGAACTCACCTGCCCCTCTGCTGATACTGGCAGGCCCTGGGCCAGGTCTCCGGAACTTCTGGCCTGGGCGCCTCCTGAAGAGCCCCCGGCCCTTCCCAGGGGCCTCCTTTCCCTCACCTCAAAGCTTTCCGGAGCTACCCCTGCATACATGGCCACTGGGCAGCTGCACAGGGATGAAGGCTCACAGTAGGCTTGGCCACCCTTTCCCTCATAGCCACAGCGTGACTTTGGCACGGCAGTTTCATGTCCACCGCTTGAGCCACATGGGCTGGACCATGGTCAGCACCTGTGCCCGGGCCGCCCTCCTGGCACATTCCCTCCCAGCTCTCTGCATGGCCTGTCCTGTCTCCCTGTTCTTTGGGTCTTGGTCCCTCTTACCCTATGGAGAGTCTGCCCACATCCCATCTGGACAGAGCTGGTGGCCCTCTGGGATTGCTGTATTTTCTCTTCACCTGCCAGGGCTCAGGCCCTGTCTGTCCTGTCACCCTTGCAGAACACCTGTCTCAGGGTAGGGCTCAGTAGATACCATATTAATCAGTGAAGGAATGAGAGGGCTTGAATTTGGCTTGCTTGGCATGAGGCCACACTGCCCTCTAGAGGTGCTCTGGGCAACTGGGCCAGACTAGCCCCTGACCATCACCAGATGGTACCCCCACACCCACTTCCATTTATTTGGAGCCCAGGTTTATTGGGGGGAGCTTGAGCCCAGCTCATAGTTGGGGTTCATCCTGCTGGCTCTCTCTCATGGTCTGGGGAATTCTCCCCAAAGCAGGCTGGACTAGATAAAGACATAAAGGGCACATCCTTGAGAGAAAATCTTCATAAATGAAGATGTCTAAGAGACTGGGCCACCCTGAGTGGCTGGGGATGGAGGCAAAAGAGTGGCAGTTCCAATCGTGATGTGAGGTCAGGCTCGGCACCAAGACCAAAGTACGGGCACAGCCAGTTGTCACTAGGGTCCCAGTGACTCTGCCAGGGAGTCAGGAAGCCCCTGCGGCTGGTGGTGTTGGCAAGGCTGGCAGTGGAATGCACAGCTCCCCTGAGGACAGAGGAATGCCAGCTGGGCCGCAGGATACAGGGCTACACAAATGCAAGCAGCAGCTCCGACTCCACGGGAAGGGCCTCCAGAGGGAGGCAGAGCCCAGGAGCAGGCTGTGCTTCCTGCTGCCGAGCTGGTGAAGGCTCCCAGCACTGCAGTTTTCTGCTGTTGAGGGTACAACCACGTGGGCGGTTATAGGGGCTGCCTCTGGAGGGGAAAGATGGTCGTCTCTGCAAAATCATTAACACAGTCTGGGAGTCCCAGGCCTTGGAGCTGAATGTGGGGATATGAGGTTCACAGGGCAGGGGATTTCCTTCTGGTCTGTGTGGCACACTGTCCTTCCCCAGCCCCCGTTCCTAGTACAGGGCCCGACACACAGTCCTGGCACTAAGTAAGTATTTGTTGGGTGAATGAAGGTGTGATGCAAGGAAACTGAGACGTGGAAGCAGAAACTGAAGAGCCCTACAGTCAGCTTGGTCTTCTGAAAGCTGCTGTGCGGCAGCCGGGAGGGCCTCGGTCCTGACAGTGCTGCTGGGACTGCCCCGTCAGCACCACTGGTGCATGGGGGGAAGAGGCTGGAAGGCTGCCCCTGGGAGTGAACCTGGTTGAGCCAGGCTGCAGTGGCAGTGAGAGAAGGGCTGGAGAGACAGATGGAGGGGCAGGTGGATGCAGGCCAGGGAGAGAGACAGCATGGATGTTCCAGTGAGCGCTGGAGATAACGCCAAAGAAGAGCATTCAATTTTGCCAAAGGAAAAACAACTCTCCATTTTTGCACTGGCGCAATCTTCCTGTTTGTTATTTCTTTGGCTATGTTAGGCCGCTCAGCGTCCCAGAGCACTGTCAGAAGAGGCATCGACACTACAGTAAAGCAGTCTTGGTACCATTCATCTGAAGGAGTTCCCACTGGGGACTCTGCTTCCCTGAGGCCTCATTCTTTTCTTAGTATGCAGGAGTTAAGCCCGGGTTTGGAGTGCCTCTCCGCAGGCTCATGTTTTAAGGCCTACTGCTGAACCTGGTGTATGTTTGAAGGTAGGGTACTCGGTCACGTTGGCCATCACAGAGAGATGGCCCAAACCAGGAGTGTCCAGGCTGGCAAAGCAGTATATTTGGGAGCCAGGATTCAGACCCCAGCATGCAGAGAAGAGGGAGCTGTCCAGAGACAGGACATGGTGGGTAAGCTGCATGTGAGTCCTTAGAGAGGGTCTGGCTAACCTGGGCCCCACACAGCTCATCTTAGGGGCCACTCAGGGTCTCTCAAGGGTCTCTGGAGAACCAACAAATGGATGGTGCTGGCCCCAGGAGTCAGGGTTGAAGAGATGGTCATGGCCAGGTCCTTCCCTAGGATGCCAGGGCCCATTGGCCTGCCCTGGACACAGCACAGGACCTCCTCTGGGGAGCAGGGACCTATCTGTCTGCACTTCAGGCCAGATACGCCCCTCAGATTGGGCTCCAGGTTGAACGGGAAAGAGGGAGCCTGACCAGGTACTGAGGTCTGAGGTCTGCCCCGCCCTGTGGAAGGATGGATGTGACTGCATTGGCAGTCGTGTGAACCTGCTGGTCCCTTAGACAGTGTGAAAGGGCAAAGAAACCACTCTGGTCAGTCAGTGCAGACACTGGGTCAGTGGTTCACACCAAGCCACAGGATCAAAATGTGTGTGAGCTATTTTATCACCATTAGTCCTTTGATAGCAGAGAGGGAGCATCAGGGGCACTACCTTGTGGCAGGGCCCGTGCAGCACAGAACACAGAGCTCCCCAAACACATGCTGAGTGATCAGGCACTGTGCTAAGTCCTCTACATGCGTTATTTCATTTAATCTACCCCACCAGGAAGGCAGGGTTATCCTCAATTTACAGAAGAAACTAAGGGCAGAGGAGTGAAGTACTGTGCCTGAGGCCACAGGCTCCTTTGGGCAGGCAGAGCTCCCGCTGGGCCCAGGCATGTGGGTGAGCTTCGGACAGTCATGTCTCCCAAACGTGGTAAGCTAAGCCAAGGGCATGCAGGCCTGGGCCTCTAGCTTTTGGTTGCCAGTCAACAGCTGAGATGCAGACACCCTTTCTTGGTTACGCTGGACACGTGCAATTTCCTGGTCTGTGGACAGCCAGCTCTAGGTGGCTGCATGCGGCAACTTGATGCAGCATTTGTTCCAGGGTTCCCTGTCACCATGGGAACCCAGAAGCCTTTCAGGCTGGTGCCATATACATGGCCTACATCCATCCCATCAGGGTGACAGCCAGTCACCACAGAAATTGCTTCCTCTACCTTACCAAGGGGCTACCTGACAGATGGCATAGGGGTGGAGGGGCTGGGGCATCAGCCTGGGAGTGGCACTCACCTTGGCCAGGCTGGCAGTAAAGAGCACACACTCGAAGAGTTGTCCCATCCTCTGGAGGAACTCGTCCACGTGGGGCCGCTTCAGCACATACACCTGCGAGGCAGCAACAGCAAGTTGGTGAGTCATAGCAGCTGCTGGGGATGGCCTGCGGCCCAGTCTCCTGGTGTAGAAAGGGCTCCTAAACAGGTTCCTGCCTCCCCCCAGGTCTGTGTGTGGCAGGGGGATCCAGAATGTATGAGGGATGGTACTTCAGGCCAGCCACGCTCCTCAGATTGGGCTCCACGTCTGAGTTGCCCCTCGAAAGGGAAAAAGGGAGGCTGACCAGGTATTGAGGATCCCAAGTGTAAGGGTGGTGCCATATTTCTGCGAATGACTCCTTTGTTTCAAGGTGGTTCTTGGCATATTTTCTGGATCAGGCCCTATGTAGATGCAGGCCATGGTCTGGGGGTTGCCCTTTTGGACACTGCCTGGCAGGTCTGGGATGGCTTCAGCTGCTACCCTCTTGCCAGGCAGGCCTGTGGTGGAGCGCGGCCCCAGCAAAGCCGCAGGAAGTGCCTCTCGTGTTGGCGTGGGAAGCATCTAGTTGACACCAGAAAGGTTACTCTGCTTGGGCTTGGTACCGAAATAGCTACTTCAGGGATGGGAAGCCAGCCTCCTCCCAGGCTCCAGAAACCAGCCATCTGGAGGGGCCTCCAAGCAGAGGAGGGCAAAGAGGATCCTCTCCTGGAGTGGCTGGGCTCTGTGCTCCTGAGTGTGGAGCCTGAGCAAGTCTGAGGAAACGAGGGAGAAGGGAGAGAAGGCAAAGCCGGTGAGAGAAGGCAGAGGAGGTGGGAGCAGGAAGAACTAATTAAAACTTGAATGAATTCCATTTGAAATTAGCCACTTTCCTAAAATAAATCAAACTTGTTAAAATTCAGTTCAATTCATATTCACCAGCTCTGTGCTCAGCCTGAAGAAGTTACAAAAATGAATAAAAGACAGTCCTTGCCCTTGAAGAGCTCACAGTCTAGAGCAGTCACACACAAAAATATGTCAAGACAAACATGCATAATGACAACTGCAGCAGAGGGAAAAATTAAGGACCATTAAGTCCCCTTTCAAGAGGAGGGAATCACAGAAGGTAATATTTGGCCTGGACCTTAAAAGATGAATAGGAGTCCACCAGGTGGATAGGGATGAGAAGCAGGCTTCCGGACTTCTGGGCAGTGGAAGCAGTATGAACTGGAGTCCTGGGTGTTGAGAATGGCCACAGCCCTTCAGAGGCAGTGGTAACAGGGGAGTCGGGGGACAGGAGGAGTGGTTGAAGAGGAAGTGCAAAGGCAGGGCCAGGGTGAGTTTGCTTGGGGCTGGGAATGGCAGATGGAGCAAGCTGGACGTCTGGCAGGAGGAGTAACGGGGGATGGGGGACACTGTACCACACAGTGGGTGCTGCTGGCAGGGCAATTTTACAGAGCCAGGACCTGGGGGAAACTTGTGGCAGACTGAAAGACATGTGGTGAAGAGTGAGGTAAGGCACCCTGGGGTGGGTGCCAACAGGGCTCTGAGGAGCTGGGAGGCCGGGTGGGTGCTGAGGGCAGCGCCTACAGCTATAGTAGCTCCAGGTCCCCACTCTGCCCATGAGACTCTTTGGTGCTAGAGCATGGGGGCAGCTGTGGTTCTCAGTCTCCCTGGGAATACTGCTTGGAAAGTAAGCTTTGTTACATGTGAAGGGCAGGAGACTGACTTGGGAACTCTAGTGCTGATGCCTCTGGCAGAGAGGAGGGTCCTGGGCCCGGATGCCGGCGTCCAGGCCCGCGTCCGCGTGCAAGTAACCAAGAATAGGCCCATTGGGACCGGCACAGCCTATCCTGGATTACTTGAACGAGGCCACGGCCTTCGCCAGGGCCTTGGTTCTCCTGATGCCTGTGGCTTCGTTCCCTCAGGAGAGAGTTTCTGATCCCAGCCCAGGGTCCTGGGGTAGCTACACCAAGTGAATCACCGCTCAGTCAGGAGGAGGTTGGGGGACTCTTCAGAATGGGCTGCCATAACAGGTCATGCTGAGTCACAGGTAGAAAGAGTAATTTCTCCCCTAACTCTAGCCATGCTGGTGGACAGCCTCTCCTCTGTCTTACTACTTTGTGACGCGAGCCAAGATAATAAATGCAGAAGCCTTTTAACTGCTTCTCAGATGCTGACTTAATTCAGCTGATGCTTTTGCAAATATTAAATGCCCAAGTGCCTGCTGTTTTGGCTCCCTGATGGATTTTAAAAGCCTGAAGTGACACTAGTGACAAAGCTGCCTTTCCCAGAGATGGCTTCCTGATAGGACCTCCTGGCAGGAGAGGGGAAGGGAGTGTCAGGAACAGAGCTCTGGGCCAGGAGGCAAGGTCTGGTTTAATTCTTCCCACTGTGTGATCCTGAACCAACCCTCGCTCTGTTGAGCCTCAGTTTCCCCATCTGGGCAATGGGGGTGGTTGGACTAGCTGATTTCCAAGGCCTCACCAACTCTGATACCCTACACTCAAAGGTCAGAGAGATGACTGGCATTGTTAAGGAAAGACATCATGTTCTGGCTCAAACACCAAGAGAGGTTTTCCTTCCTGGAGTAGCAACACATCAGGCCAGAGACTCTCCCTTTAAGACCATGGTTGCCAAGGAAGATGTGGAAAACCTGACAAGGGCTCCCCCACTCTTCAACCTTCAAGGCTAGTTTTCCTATAATGTTTCCAATATGTTCATAAATGAAGCTATTCTGGAGGAGCTTCGTGTAAATAAGGAAAAAAATTCAGAACAAGATGCATGCCAAATGACTAGGGCATTCAAAGATGCCTGCTGACCCCAAAACTCACTCCCTTCCCACTTTCTCTTTTGGGTTGAGTTTTTGCTAATGATTCACTGAACACATGCAGAATGACAAGATCAGTCTGGAAAGGCTGGCACTGGAAACGGACAACTTTTCTCAAGAATCTACTGAGTGGGTGACTTGTGCCATTTGCCCATTGCCTGCTAGAATGGTAGCCTAAAGCAATCACATGAGGAAGTTAATGAAACCATCAGGCTAGGCCAGTGGGGAATGTGGAAACTTCCACAAGTCTGCATCCAATCAGAGACCTATTTGAGCTTGCAACCACATCTAATACTTACAAATGGGTTAGTTTCCCTATAAACTCAGTATAAAATACATTTATCTGAATGAAGAAAAGCAGAAAACCATTGCATCTATTTTAGAAATTCAGCTTCCTTTTGATTTAGCAATAAATTATTACTGAATTGGGAATTTAGAAATAAAGTTCATAGGAAATATAATTACTAAAAAAAAGCTGATTGAAACTTGGATTTAGCTTTGACTTCTTACCTGATGTATTGTTCCATCAATTTCAACTGGAACAATAAAGTCGGCATTGCTAATAGGCTAGAGAGAAAAGAAACTATAATTAGTATGTCTTAACAAAATAAAATTGGAAATTTTAGCAAGAAAAAACCTTGCCTGGACCCATGTTTTTATTATTGGGAAAAACAGTTCAGGCGATGGATGCTCAAGTATGCCTTGGTTCCTTAAAATAAGCACAAGCAGGAGAGTGTTATTTTCTGTTCTGAATATTGTTACATTTTCAGCATCCTGGTCCAGCCTCTTTATCACCCACCTGGCCGCAACAGCAAAGGGTGGGGCAGCGGGGCCAGGCAAAGGCTCTTCAGCAATTCTAGCCCTTGCCTAGAGTGCTGCCACGATGATGGGGAACCACTGCTCTCAGCAGGGGGAGGAGGTAGGAGCTCCATGGTAGAGGGCAGTGCTCCCTGGGGAAGGTAATCTGTATCGGGCCCCCAAGGGTGGGCTGTCCTGTGATGGGCTGCTTGGCTGGAGATGCTCAGCACATGGACACAAAGCAGGGTCAAGGGCATGTGGGATGAAGGCATAGGCCACAGGCCATGACCTTGGGCAGGCTTCTTCCCCTCTGACCTAGGTTTCTCCTCTCTTCCATAGCTACAGCAAGGGTCTGATGAGTGCCCATGGCTCCATCCAGTCCTGTTGGTGACTTCAGGCCTCATCTGGCACTGTCTCCTGCCCTGGTGGGTGGGGAGAGCTGGCCCAACCTAGAGTGTTCTGTTCTAAGTAACACGATACCCATCATACTCACAAACTTCTGCATATTTAATGCCTTAGCAATACAAATATGACACAACTCAAATATGATTTCTTAGCAGTCACTATGTTCTCAGTGATGGACTTACAGACAATTCTAAATAGAACTCCACATATTAGATAGAAAATTACTCAGATGAACAGGCCCACAAAAATCATCAGACTGCAAACCCTTGGGAAAAGGAGACAGACAGAGAGGGGAGGGAAGAGGTGAAGAGATGCTGCTCACATCAGTTGTGGCGTTATGCCCTCTGAGGGGCCCCTGGGAGCACCACAGCTGCCAAGGCGCTGCCTGTGGAGCAAGAACCTCAGTAACCTCGGGCAGGCTGGCCAGCGTTGCCCTCACTCCCAGAGCTGCTGGAGAGGAACCTGTCTATACTGCCATAGAAACTGACCCCCACTCCGAAGGGCTTTCCTCCAAAGTCCTGAGCAACTTGCCCATGGGGAAGAAAAGGCTTCCAGTGCTGTTGAGAGCTGAGCTGGGACATAAGGTCATTGCAGTCCTGGGACCAATCCTGGAAGGAACCTTGAGGTGCTTGGAAATGAGGTGGAACCCACATGCCCTGGCAGCCAGATAGGTCATTTCTCACTGCTAGAGGTAAGTGTGGTCCTCATCCGCTCTCCCAAAGGACTCAAAGACAGCCGCCTTGTCCTGCCCAGGAAGGAGGTTTCTGGGAATGGCCTTTAGGCAAATTAGATGGTTCTTCTGTTTCCCATACAACCTTCAAGGAAAGACTGTGGTTCATGTGAGACACATACCCCACCATCCATGGTGCTTTTAATGTTTCTCAGCAAAGAAGGAGCAATCTGTGGTTGGGGAGGGGGGTGAAGAGGAATGTGGTCTAACCAGCTGGTACAGCACAGCAGTTCCACCCCAGAAATGCCCCAAAGAAAACCAGGACCTAAACACCTGCTGCTTCTCCCCAGCACACCAGTCCCCTATTTCCAAACCTTTCCATCATTTGCCTTTTTTAAACAATTTATTCCATTTCAAAAAAAGGGGAAAATGGTTAATTAACTTACTTCTTAATAGTGTAGACACAGCTGTTCCCACAGCTGTGGCCCTTTGGTGATTTGTAATTGTTGCTGTTACTCTGGCAGGGAGATGGAAAGGGAAGAAGTGAAACTGGCTGAGGCCCCCCCTCGACATCACTGCAGCCCCACGGCTTCCGAGGGAGTCATGCAGGTGCCTACTCATTAGCTATGAAGTTTACAAAAAGCCCCAGCAACCTCTTGTCATGAAAATGGGCAAAACAAATGGCTGGATCTGTTCAAAGGCCATTACTCTGGAAGTCTTCAGAGTTGGACATCTTTCAAAAACTGGTCTGGGAAAACTTCCAGGAGAGTAGGTTGCTTGTCAGTTTTTAATAGTGCGTCCCCTGCCCCTCCCAACAGAACCCACAGCATTCCAGCTACCTTGCCAAACACAAGTGGTGTCCTGAGGCACTGGGGCACTGACTGCCTTGTGCCAGCTGAACAGCTTTTCTGCGGGGCTAGTGTTGGAGAACACATCTCCTATGTAAGAATGAGGTCTTGAATATTGGCAGTGCAGTGTTTTTCCCAAACTAATTATGTTAATATTCAACTACTGGAGTTAATGTTCACCTGAGATAATAAGCAGCTGTTAGGGGGATCTCTTCACGAACATGAAATCATCATCAACAACCGCAGGCTTTGTTTCTTTTTATTTTCCCTTTTCCAATATAACTGTGACCAAATCACAAAGACCACTGGTTGTTCCTTATGTGGATTTACCTTAAAGGAACTGTGCACCAGTGTTTCATCTAAATCAATGACCACACATTTCTTCCCATAGTCAAGCACCGTCACCTCTGGAAGGAGGTATTTAGCTGGTGGCTAAAGGGAGAAAAAAAAATCAGTATTACCTTTATGTAAAAGACAAACCAATTCTCTTATTGTTGTATTATACCACATCAACGAGTCATAAATGAAAGCAAACATTTAAACACCTGGTCAAACACATGATAGAATTTTATTAAAAACACAAGAATAAGTATTTTGCAACTGAAGTTGTACCAAATGCTGTGCCGTTGTCTAAATGGCTGTTACGAGGGCCTAGCCTTTGGAACCAGTCAAACCTGGATTTGAATTTCAGATTCAAATCCTGGATTTGAACTTACTTGGCTGTAAATTGGGATGATAACAGCTACCATGGAGGATGTAGATTTATCATCTGTGACTGTGGTAAAATGCCCAGCAATCTGCCTAGATATATATGGTAGCTATTGTTGTTAAAGTGGACTACATAAAAATGAACATTTACTTGTAATAGCTGTTTTAGCTATGCAGGCCCATTTCCTGGAGTCATATTTTGTCTTAAGTTCACTGTGGTACATATGTATATTTTAGAGTTATAATGGAACCACAATTTTTGTTTAGTGACTGACTGAAATTTTTAAAAACTTGAAGAGAAACTATAGACCCACCCGCAAAATGTGATCCAAAGTGACCTCCTATAAAAGGAATCAGAAATGAAACTGGCCCAGGCACACTGCCCGGCCTTATGCCTGTCCCATTGTGGTCTGATACTGAATGAATGTGGCATTTTTACCATTTGGAGACTCTGTTTCTGTAAGTTATCCTTTAATCCACACAGTATGTATCAACCAGAAAATCTATGTCCATGTCTTTGTAGTAGCTGACTCTAAACTTGTAAAGAGGCCAACAAGAGTTAATAAAATGCTAGATATCTTCAGCCAACCTCATTCTTGATTTAGAGTATTTATTTCTTTGGGCCTTGCCTCACTCTAGAAATGATCTGAAGTGTTTTAGTTTTCTCAGTGGCATACTCAGTATCCAATGTTATCTAGCTCATTTTCTATCCTGGAAAAAGGTCAAACTCTGCTCAGTATTTAATGTAAAAGAAAACATAAGAAAACATCTGTTCCTAGCCACTGAGAATGGACAATTTAGCTTATCAAAGAAAAAAATGAAACCAAGACGTATTTAAAAAAAAAATTTTTTTTTAAAGCTTCAACTGGACATTATTTGAGGGTCTAGAGCTAATTTTGGACTTCAGCTGCTTGGATAGTGAATGTAACACAGGCAGTCACAGGTTAGGTAAATTTACATGCAACAACCATCTTGGCAGGAGCGACTGTCCAGGCTGACCAGGAGGAGGCCACATATGGTGACACAGGCATTTCTAATTCTAAAGGGGCTCTTTCTAGTGAGGGTGGGTGTTTCATCCCCTGCAACATCATGTAGAAGACAGAGAAAGCCCTTGTGGCCTCCCAACTCCCTGGGCTCTAATTAAAGCTTACTAAGCAGAATTTCCTAACTCTGTGGCACTGGGAAGAGATGTGCTTTGGACATGGGATATAGGATTTGGGTCCTGGAAAGGACTATATCCTTTATTATAAACCAGCAAGCAAGCTATTAAAAAAATTAAACATGCAAGAGGTTTTGTATCAAAGTGTATCTTAAAAAGACAGGGCATGATGAGCATTATTGGTGAACGCAATAGAGAGGATTTTGGCTTCCTGTTGTTGGGGCCATAGCAGAAAGCATGTCTGTGAATATAAGGCATTTGTTTTAATTTTTTTATTATGCAATTATGTAATAAAAACACATTCTTATTTGAAGAATACAGAGGTAAAACACAACTATCCCTTTTCCATGGCCCCCACTCCTATCCCCAGATGGCCCATTTTAGTTTGGTGTGTATCTGGCCAGTCCTTTCTCTATGCATTTATACACTAAAGCAACATTTTAACTGTATGTAATTGCTAGCCTGGAAAATAAAGATCTAGAAATTCTATCCCTAGTGTATTTGAAAACATCAAAGATCTGCCAAAAGAGGCTGTTAGTTTCCAAACCTGAAAATAAAAACTTTCTTAGCATATTTAACCCATACTTTACAAGCATTCTCTGAGTTAGTGGTAAGTAAGAATCTTAGGACACTATTGTAAGAGATAAAAGAACCAGAAAGGTGAGACTCATACCAAGCAAGCAATTGATTTAGCATTTGTGCTGCAGAGAAACAAGGCTGGGCTGGGGGCAATGGGCTGTAGGGTACGGTTAAACCTCAGCATTTTTCTCAAATGCACACAGCTGAGAGCTTGGGTTTAGATTAAGACAAATTCTCCAGACCACCAGTAAGAACTCTGCTGGACAGCTGGGTGCCTGGAAAGAGCAAGAATGCTGTGTAATTGCAATAATGCTTTGTTACTTCAATTGATCTGTTCAGGTGATGCTTGAATCATTGACTAAAAATGTCCTGAAGCAAATTTTCTCTCAGGCCATCATAAAGCTAAAGAACAAGACAATCATCAGTTATATCAAAGAGAGCCTTTCTCTACAAGGTTACTTGCTCCAAAGCATACAGAGGGCCTTGCCATCCAAGTTTTGGGAAGGACATCCATTCCAGTTCTCTTCCTGCAGGGGACAATCTGAAGCGTCCTGTCCTTGTAGTGAACTGGCAGCCATGCGCAGTTAGCCCTGAGGTTGTCTCCTTACTCTCACTGCACACATATTAATCAGTACCTCTTTGTGGCCCATTAGACGGCTGTTCCGTACTTCAGACAAGCTCAGAGACTGCACACTGAGCCCAGGCCGCAGAGTTCAGGCAGAGGTCTGAGGGCCTCCTTCAGGAGGGTACGAAGGAGACTCTAGACCGTCTTTCCCTAGAATAGTGGTTCTGCTTTTATGTTCTTCATGAAGTTTGGTGAGAAGTACACTACTGCTTACTAAAAAGCTTAGGCAAACAGCGTAGAAACATTACTGCTAGAAAACAATGTCTCCTCTCCCTTTCAGCATTTTTACAGCTCAGCTGCACTGTCAACCTCGCATGTGGGCATCTGTACGGAGTGAGATTCAAGCAAAAGTGTGGGAGTAGCAGATGCTGGTCATAGCTCAGTGGCATTCCTTACGGGGTGAAAGCACCTGGGGGCTCAACTTCAGCCAGGGCCAGCTATGCTTCAGTGGCTGTTAAACCTGTCCCCCTGCATCTTTTCCTCACCCTTCAACACTTGGCTTTTACCAGATAGCCCATCCAATACGATGGATGGAAGGTTCCAGACTCCAGTTAATAGTTGGGAGACAAATGTTACTAAGCGGAACATATAACATCAAGTCCAGAGAAAGACATCATTTCCAATAGGTATGCAAAAGATGGATTACTCAATAAATGGTCTTAAGACAACTGACTTCCCCTTGGAGAAGGAAGTAAAGCTGTACCACTCCTTCACGGCTTATGCCAACTTAAATTCCAGGTGGATTGAAGATTTAAGTGTAATGATGACCCCATTAAAATACTAGGAGAAAAATGGGTTATGGTCATAGAGTGGGGAGAGTTTTCTAAGCATGACATAAAATTCAGGAGCCAAGAGAATAAAATTAATTCGCTTGCCTATATAAAACTAAACTTCTTTGTGGTCAAAATGATTATAAACAAGACCAAAAGATGTATCAAAAATCTGGCAGAAAGTACTAATTTCCTTGAAATTTAAAAAGATAACATAGTATAAAACCTGGAAGAAATGAATGGGGAAGAAGACATATGGACAATAAACCTGTGAAAAGGTTTTCCTATCATTCATAAAGAAATGCAAATCAAAGCATTACACTGATCCCATTCTTTCAGATTAGCAAAGATCAAAATACTTGATAATTATTATATTTGACAAGAGAATAGGCAATCTCATATCCTCTTGGCAGGATGTAAATTAGGTTTCTGGAGGATAATTTGGCTTTCATGATATAAAACAAATATTAAAAGTGGTTATTCTAGGGAGTGGCACCAAGTTGGGTGATTTTTTTTTCTACTTTAATCATTCAGTACTTTTTAAAACCATGAGCTTGGATTATTGCTCAGTAAAAAATCAAAAGACCAAACCTGCACATATAAACAGAGCAGCATAAGAATGAAAAAAGAGGGGTGAGGTGAGAAGCAGAGAGGGAGGATTCTAGCTGGAACACTCCGGGCACCCACAGGCTCAGGAGCACCTTCTCTCTTCGGCCCTCGAAGAAGCTTTCAGGACTTTGTAGGCCCTGGTTTGGAGGCTCAGCACAAGCCTGAATTTCTGGTCCTACAGTGCAGTGCCCAAGCTCTGAGGGGGCTCCCAGCATGGACCAGGTTGCCCTGTGGTCCAGAAAGGGAAGGGCTTCTCTGTTTATGGGACCTGTAGCCTCGACGGGTGGATGGCAGGGGATCTCAAGGCTTGAATCCTGGGGCCGAGCTGGCTTCCAGATGGACTTGGGTTCAGTCCTACATGCTAAGCAGGCAGTGGAGGTCACACCATGCCTGACCATCCATGGAACTGCTTTTCTGGAGGTTTTCATTCAAAGACACAAGCTACATTAGCTAGGCTTTGTTTTTCTGCAAGACATTTCACAGTCATAGGCCTGACCCAGTGTCTCACAGATTGGAGGTGGTCAGTAGCTTATTAACCGAATATTGGGCTAAATTACACACGGAATCTTTTTCTCCTTGGTTATTTTATTTTGGGATTCTAGAATGAGTCTAGATTTGTGGGGAAAGGGTCATTTTCCTCAGTAGAGTTTATACCCTGACTAATGGTTTGATTCAACACTGAACTTTACAAATAGCTGTGGATTAGCTTTCAGAAAAAACAGTGCTATCAGAGTGTCAAGAGGTTGGGGGGACAGCTGCCACCTGTCACCTGTTTAATGCAGTAACTTTGCAGGGAAAATCTATGAAGTTACTTTGTATAAAGGTTAAAAAGAGACTTTGGTATCTATCCACTGGGCACCCTACTCAAACTTTTTATCCAGAAGTCATGCCTTTTTGATCAGTCAGAAAGCCCAACCCTCAGACATGTTGGCAACTCACAGTCACTTCACAATCCCTTGAAACTTGTTAATCAATGGAGAGTTAAAGCTTTGAAAAAAATGAAATTACACAACATTTTTTTTGGGCAATTTATAAGTGACAAGCATTACCAAATTTGGAGTCAACCTGTACTAATGAAATCCAATCCTTTTGATGTAAGACTGCTGTGTCTCTTGGATGTTTCCAGAAAACATGTGAAAAGGTCCAAGCAAAGATAGATGAACAGATTGAATAAAAAATTCTGAATCAGAGAATCTGTGTGGGTTAAAATATCAATTTATGGACATCTTTCAAAGCCCAAATCTTTCTCTAAGGGCACAGGACTGTCTGAAAGGTCTTGTTGGATTCAGACATCTCAACTGCAAGTTTCTTGCAGGAGTCAGTCACTGGTCTGCTTCTTGCTGACTGGCCTCGGGCTAAATGGCTCTGCTGGTGGAGTAGGAGGGCAAGGAGCAGGAGGACACTAGATGTCTGAGGGGTAGCTGGTCCAGGTGTGTGCCTGGGTGGGACACTGGTGCCGCCACTCTGCCAAATCCCTGGGCTGGACACAGAAGTGGGTGGGTGACCCATGGGAGTGCCCAGAGGATGCAGACTGGCAGCCCAGCCAGCCTGTTGTGCGGGGGGTGTCCTGCAGTTCAAGGGAATACAACTGGGGGGACTTTTCTGGTCTCAGAGCCATGGACGGCCATGCTACCAACACTGTTGAACAAGTCAGAAATGGTCTGCTCACCGGGCCAGGGGCTTGGTGAGTCCAGTTCCACTGGGACAGAACATGCGGCAAAAACCATGTCTGGGCAGAAGTATGTTCTCCCAGTCTATGGAGTTGGGGCTAAGGTATGGGGGTGGGGGTGCAGTAAGCTGCCTTAGCTCATGCAGACTTGGCGGCCCTTCACAGAGAGAAAGGAAAGGTGAGAGTTTGGTTAGTAGATGCCGGTTGCCCTGCTTTTCCGCAGAAAGTAAACGGTCTGTACAGAAGTTCCTGCTCACAGTTTAAAATGTAGCTTCATTTTTCTTTTTTAACATCGGAAAGCTGTTTATATCACATGCTACAACTCAACGTAAGCATGAACATAAACAAAAAAATCTTTTACATTAGTAGGCGCAGAGCTACAAGTTTCTATGAATGTTTAAATAAAATTGGATAAATATACATACGCTTGGTATGGGAATGACCTGCCTCTGGTCACCCTGAGGGAAAAGAAAAAAAAAGTCATTGTTAGGTTTGAAGAGAAGTAGATCATATACTCAAAAGAAACTTCAAAGTGCTTGGGTATAGCAGCCCTGTGATTTCCCATTCTCTGTATCTGATGGTAGTTAATGAACAGGAGGAACCCAGAGATTTTCCACAGTTAGGGCACTGGGCCTCCCAGTATCCCCCCTGCCCTCCACCAAACCAGGCTGGGTTCCTGAGGCTCACTAATCATCTTGTTTATTTAAATAGCACCTCCCTGACTCCCAGGCATTTAATCCTTACTTGAAAAATAAAAAATTAAAGCTTGCTTCTTCTTTTAGGTAAGTTTTCTCCACTAAAAAGACAAGCCTTAGGTTATAAGTATGCAGGGAAGGCAGACAAGTATGCAGGTTACAAGGAGCCCCTTGGCCCTCTTCCAGTGGAGGACTGGGCAGAGGGACAAGACGAGGTGCAGGAAGTGCCCTCTGAGGCTACAGTCATGGAGGTGACTTCCCCTAAGAGGACCGGAGCCTGTGTTCATAGGGAGTGCAAAGAAAACCCAGGCCCCAAGGAAGGGCCCCCCCAACTCCTCAGCCTCAGGAGCCACTCCAAATCTGGTTGTGGAGACTACTTCATTTTAGCATTATTAAGAAGTGCTAATAAAGAACACATTTCTCTCCACTGAGCATTTCCAGTTCTGTGTTTCTTCTTTTTCAGATGGTGGGAATGGAGGCAATGACTGGGAGGGCAGCACCATAGGCCCTGAAAAGAGATGCAGTCTCACCGTCTCCTGCATTGAAGGATTCATGAAAAACATATCCAGCTTTGTTGAGCAGGCCACTATGACAGTGGTCTCATGGGAAGAGGTCAACTAATGTCGGCAGTGACAGGTGGCTGGTGTTCAGACTCCAAGGGCCACTTGGAACTCTTCAATTATCGCCAGCCCCTAGTTACCACCTCTGCAGTGCACAGCCACTATTGTTTCCTCTTGAGATGATCTTGATGGCTCTTTCCTTTTTCAGGACACGTGGAGCTTGTCTTAAGGATTCTAAACTGCCTTCAGTCATTATTCAAGGCAGGGCTGCTTTCCAACACCAAGGTGACTCCACAATCAGATCAAATCCTGTTTTCAAGAACTTAGGCAGAGTTTATCTCATGAGCTCTTAAATAACATAACTCCCAACATGCAGACCTGGGAGCAGTCACTGCTTTTGGTGGGAGAGATTTTCACAGAAGCCTACAAGCCTGTTGGGTCACTATAGAGTAGTGTCTCAACCCCACACTGTGGACATCCTGGGCCTGGCAACTCTCTGACATGGGGGCTGTCCTGTGCATCACAGGGTGTCTAACAGGAGCATCCTTGGCCTCTAAACACTAGAAGCCAGTAGAGACCCCAACAGCGGCAATCAAGTATGTCTCCAGACATGCTAAGTGTTCCCTAGGGGGCAAAATCACCTCTGGTTGAGACCCAGTGCACTAGCAGGAGACTGCAATGGCCCCTACACACAGGTGCACCTTCAGATGAGGTGAGCACATTAGTGATGTGAGAGAGAATGACAAAACATCTGAACAACTTGGCAACACAGGCTATGACCAGACAGATATTTGGGCTTGAAAACTACCCTACAGGTGTGTATGTGTCTACATGGGGTATGAATGTATTAGGGAGTGCCCAGAACTCCCTTTTACTCTGTCCTCACTCTTAGAAGTCCTCCATGGTCTCTGCCATTGGGGTCTTTGGGTGCTGACTCCTCACTTCTGGCTAGTGGCTGCAGACACTAGTTTTGGGCAACTGGCCTACAGGTCCAGGTTGTAACTGTGATGGTGGCAATGTCTATCACCCCAAGCCACTGCTGCTAAAGCATTTCTCCAGGGAAAGTAAATATCCAGGGTGGATGGACCACTAGAGGCCATCTGTGCACTCTGCCCACAGCCTTCCCTCTTCCTCTGGTATGCTGAGATCCAAGGGGCAGGGAGACCCGGGAATCAGAAGTAGAGAAAAGCCTAGAATCTGCTTCCACATCTAATGGGCCTGGGCTTTGTGTACCAGGTGTCCTGACCAAGCTGGGTACAAAGGGCAGAGGGTCCTCCTCGAGGAATTAGCTGCTCCACTTCGAAACAGCTCTTTCTATGGGGTCTGGTCCCACAGACTGAATAGTCAAGTAGTATGCAAATGATGCATTATTCAGAGTCAAGTTAATTCTTTAAATTTTGGACAAATGTTCACTGAAGGAAGTCCACTAATGAACACTAAGTCCAGATGATCTCAGCTCTGCCAGAGAAACTGCCTTTAAAGACCTTTATTCTCTGATATATACTAAGTATTCCAGGTAACCTTCCAAAGGTACACCACCATTTTCTCATGTCATTTCATTGAGGCAGATGCTATTTTAAAATAACTTTTACTATGACAGCAATGGCTTTCTTCTTCCTCCATAGGCCTAGGGCAAAAACTATGTTCCCTTCACTAATGGCGATTCCCTACATCATTGATTTTTAAATTGGGGGAGGGAGTACACTGAGGGAAGATGTCTCTGGGGCTGCAACTGGGTTCACAGTGGAATCTCATTATACAAATTCCACTGATGTACTTTTCTACACCAGTGTAAAGGAAGATTTCCTATCTTTTAAGGCAAGTCATCCTTCATTTTTTTTCCAAAAACTTCTCAGTTATTCATAGACAGTTTTTCTTCTATGTAAATTTTAAATCTTCCTATCCAGTAACACAAAACTTTCTCCATAAATAAGAGCCACCATATCAAAAATGTTTAATGTTTCTAATTTTTTGGTAGTATTTTGGGTTTCCTATGTAAATAATCATCTCATATACAAGTAAAACTAGTTTGTATTTTTTCATTATTTATACCAATTGTTTTATTATCTTGTCTTATTCCCAAAGCCAGAAACTGCCAATGATTTTCCTATGCTGTTTGCTCTTTACTTTATAGCTTTTTATGTTTAAATGGTTTTCTTCTATGTATTTGGCTGTACTGTTGATTGGTATGTAAAGGTTTATGGCTAATATACTTTACGCATTAGACCTTTTATCATTATAAAACATCTCTCTCCTGTTTAATGCTTTTGGCCTTGAATCTTGTTTTACATGAGTTTAATATTGCCATTTTTTGCTTTCTTTTTATTTGATCTGCTCTGTATATTTTCCTACCTCTGTACTCTCCACTTTTTAGAAATCACTGTACATTAGCTGTTGGGTCAGAAACTATTAGCCACCTACTATAATTAATATTCATTAGCACTGTTCACCAAATAATTGCAGTTTTCTTTCTAGACCATGGTAGGATCATACTTCTATGCCCCTTGAAGTTAGGTGTAGTCATATGAATTACTTTGGCTAGTAAAATATAAGTTGAAATGTTACTTCTGAGTAAAAACGTTAAGAGCCAGTGTGACCTACCACATTCCTTTTTTCCTACTCTGACAGTCATGGAAGCAAAGAGACTGGGGCCTTCCTTAGTCTACACCCATGAAGGAGGACAAGACAGTTATGTATTCCAGTAATGTAGCTACTAGTCACATGTGGCTACTGAGCATTTGGTTTTTATTTGCATATGACATGATTATTTGCATAGAAAACCCAAAATACAACTCCAAAATTAGAATCATCAAATGGGTTTGATATGGTAGCTATTAGTCACATATAGCTATTGAAATCTGGGTAGTCCAAATTAAGATGTTCTGTAAGTAAAAAATACACATCAGATTTTGAAGAGTAAGATTAAAAAGAATGTAAAGTTTTATCTAATTAATAGTTTTTTCTATCAATCACATGTTGAAATATTTTGGATATATTGTGTCAAACAAAATATATTATTAAAATTAATTTAATGTTTAAAAAAATCTTAAAAAATGAGGCTACTAGAAAAATTTTAATTACATATGTGGCTCACATTACATTTCTGTTGGATGGTGCCCAAGACCAGAAGGCTCAGCCAACCCACAATAAACATGAAGCCTCAGTAAAAACTAACTGTGTAAGCCTCTGAGGTTTGGGGGTTGTTACTGCAGCATAACCGAACCCACCCTAACTAGTATATCTACTCTGTGGTCATTCTGCTTTTCTCCTTTATGAAAAGAGCTCAGGTTTCATGGAGGGCAGGAATATGCCAGTCTAAATTCTTCCTCTCTTGGGTCTCCCTTGCTGCTGGAGGGTAGCCATGTGACACAGTTCTGGGCAATAAGACATAAGCAGAAGTCTCCGGGGATTTTCTGTGAAAGCATTTATTTTTCAAAAAGGGACAGATAGGGCTAGTGTTACTCTTCCCCCTCATCTTCCCTAAAGTGTGGGTATGAATCTAAAGCTCTCTGAGTTAATAAACAAAAAGCATGAATGAGGATGAAGCCCAACATACCAAGGATGGTAGAGCAGAAAGATGGGAAGACGAAAGAACAGAAGAGTCTGCATCCCTGCTGGTATCATCAAGCATCTAAACTAACCCCAGCAACTGCCAGACTCAGACTTTCTACATGAGGGAAATAATCCCCTATTTGTTTAAGCTATTTGTCAGTTTTCTTTTACTTACTGCCAATTAAGTAAGTACTCCATTAAACATTCCTATCCGACAGGTATAGTCTTAGATGCATTACTATACAAGCTGCTATAGTCTTGGTCTCTTGTTAGGAGACTTTGGTTCATTAAACTTGGCTTTATGCCTAGTTTTTATGTTAAGTTTACTCTTTATTATATTTGTTCTTTTTCCTTTTCCTTAATATTGATGGCTTGTTCACATTTCTGGTTATTTCCTCTTTCACTATGAATTGTGAGGATATATTTTCTAATTGTGCTACTTGTTACAGTTCTGTTCCTGATGGTTGTACTTACTCCTACATGTTCTATCATTTTATTGGACCTGAATACCAATCTCACCCAAATGTTTTTGACTCCCTCTATGAATCATTACATCTCTGAAAATGTACTTCTTTTGCCTCATAGATAAATGATAACTTGGTCATGTATAGAATTTTCGGTTTGTAATTTTTTTCCCTCTGGAGCCCGTGAAGTTTCTCACTTTTGGCTTTTGGTGTTGTGGATGAGAAGTCTGGTACTAGTAACATTTTATTTTCTCTGAAAATGACTTTTTCTGGTAGCTTGTAAGATTTTCTCTTTATATTTACATTCCAGAATTTTGACAGTGTTTATTCAGGCATGTGCTCCCCACTTGGCCCCTCCAGTCCTGCTGTGAATTTGGTGAGCCCCTTCAGTTTGCCTTTTTTCAGCTCAGGGAAAAATTTCCTCTCTTCCTGGAACTCTTACTATTTGCACTTTTGATTTTCTAGATCCTCTTCTGCACCTCACAGTTGCCATCTCTGTGTTTCTGGTCTGAATAATAAGGTATTTCTTCCACTCACTCCTCCAGAACATTAATGCAGTTCTCAGCATGACTATTCTCACTCCCCTTTTTCTCAGTTTGTTTACCAGATTTTTATATTTAGAACCATGGGATTCTTTTTTTAAGCTCTAAAAATTACTTTTGTACTCAAGTCCATTTCCTGAAACACCATTCCCTGAGTTGTATGCTGAAGTTCTTCCATTAGCTCCACCTCAGCACTCAGAGGAGCCTCATACTGGTTTGTCAACTTGGGCTTTCTTGCCACTGGCACACAGAGGGGCAGAGGGTAAGGTTTTCATGGTCCAGCAGAGCTCAACCTGACAGGCCACAGGAGAGGGAGACAGCTCCAGAACTGCGGAGCATCTCCAGGGCACAAGGGCTGAGAAAGGCCTGGCCCAGCGGATCACATGATCCAGTGGGCAGGGCAGGCCCTTCCCAGGGGGTCCACAGGTCCAGCTCACTGGCTGACCTCATACCTCTATACATTTCAAACCTCTGTCCCAGGACCCCAAGAGAGGCAAGCATTTCCCTCTGTTGGGGATTCCCTGCTTCTCACTGAACACTGGAGAATATGACCCCCATGTCTATCCTTTCTCTAGAGATGTGAGGACAACTGGAGGCTTTAATGTACCTTCCAGGCTCTACCAGCAGGCTCACCAGGGTTTATCCAGACACAGAATTTAAATGGCCAGAGACATGTGCTCAGGCTGTCATTGTCCCAGAATCTCTTCCTTACATTCTTATGTGCTTTTAAAATAGTTTATTTTCTAATCACAAAAGGATTTAAGCTTATGTTGTGAAAACTGAGGAAAAAACAAAGAAAAATGAGAAAGAAAAAAAGCACAGAGGAGAGGAGAAAATCCCACATGTAATCCCACCAGTCTGCAATAATCTCTTCAAGTTTTGGCCTACATCCTCCTAGCCTTACAAATGTCTGTGTGTGTCTGACTACCTGCATTCTTATAGGTGTGCTCACCTTCTATACCTTAGCCTTTTCCTGAATGATGTATTGTGAACACTTCCCTATATAAATAATATTTATGATATATCATTTTCAATAGTGGCATACTGTTTGTGTGGTTATGCTGCAAGTCTCTTATTGTTTACTGCTGATCATCCAGTTGCTTACCATTTTGTAGGATCATAATCTATGCTGTATAGTATTTTATGGGTAAATCTTTGCACCGATGATTATGTCAAAAAGGGGGAACTTCTTGGCTGAACAAATAGGCATTTTTTTATTAAGGTATCATTGATGTAAGGTATCATACACTCTCATGAAGATTTCACATGATCAACATTGTGGTTACTACATTCACCCATATTATCAAGCCCCCCCCGATACCCCATTGCAGTCACTGTCCATCAATGTAGTAAGATGCCACAGAGTTACTACTTGTCTTCTCTGTGCTCCACTGTCTTCCCTATCACCCAACAGGCACACCATGTGTGCCAATCATAATCAAATAGGCACATTTTTAAGGTTTTAAGATTATATTGCCAAGTTTCCCCCCCAGAGAGAAAATCTAAATGTTATCTTTAAAAATGTCTCTGATAATTGGATAGATGGAGAAGGACATCTCACTGTTTTAGTTTGTGTTTCTTTGATTATTGACCACATTGAATATTTTTCATGTTTACTGACCAATTGTATTTCTCATTTTGTGAATGCCTGTTCATGCCCTTTGCTCATGTTACTTGGGATGCAGACTTTTATGACCTGTGTGTCCTAAATCTCTGTCTTCACAATGAATAATTCTTTGCCTTTTTCAGTGATTTTTACCTTAAGTTCTATTTCAACTGAGATAATACTGTAACCCCTACTTTCTTTTCTGCCTGTACTTGTGTGATACCTTTTTGCTCAGCCTTTTACTCTGTTCTGAGTTACTCTGTTTCTGTGTCTATTAGGCAACATTTGGGCAGAATTTGTTTTTTTAACCTATGGTGACAACAGGACTTCCCTTTTTTATTTGATACATGTAAGAGAATATGTAACAAATATGCTTGTTATTCAGCAAGGTAGTTAAATACATTTATAGTTATTATTGGTTCTTTTCTGTGTCTGTTTCTCCACTTGTCTACTCTTGGCTCTTTAACTCTCTATTTTGCACAGTCAACTTCCCAAGAGAGTTACAAAAATGTGAAGTGACTTATAATTCTCATCAAAATATGTTCCTTAGTTACTAAATGGGAATGACTGAGATATCCTTTAACAACAAGATGACTTGCTTGGTAATTTCAAATCTTTAAATAAATGGCTGCACATATACTGTCACAGATTTTTATGAAGGACATTTGTCAAGAATGGTGCAGCTATGCAGCTGCTGAGTTTGGCCACATGCACAGCCCCCATGAGAACTGACCTTCTGAAGCCCACCATTGTCCTCCACCAGTGGCGGAAGCACACTGGGGCTGCTGGCTGGCGGGGCCTCCACATTATAGTCTCGGAAGCAGCAGAAGAAGGAGCTGAGGATGCTGCGGCTTCTCTGCTTCTTTAAGCTGGCACCGTACTGGGATGCTGCAGAGAGAGAGACAGGCAGCTGCAGTGTGCTCTCACGTGAGCGCAACATGAAGACTCAAGCATGCAGCTGCCCCCAGAGTGCTGACAGCAGGGTACCCCAACGCAGGAAGTTACTCTAAAGGACTGTTATTTAACATGGGACTCCTAGTGGGCCAGCCGGTTGATGGAGTCCAATCCTGCTGGCTGGACAGAATTCCTCTGACCTCAGCCCAGTGGGTGCTGCTTGCTCATTAACTGACCCACCCTCAGGGGAGCACCACCTACATTCCCGAAATTGGTAGATACAGTCTTCCCACCCTGCACTAAGCATTACTTCCAACAAAGATCCTTTCAGGCCAAAATCAAACTTAACGCACTCTGAGCATTTCTCTGTTAAGGGTGCCAGGAAAAAGTCACCTTGAAACTATGTTTTTGGACACTCTCTGCTCCATGACTAACTTCATGGGTTAGGAAATAAAGATGTATAAGGGCACAAAGGAGCCTCTTTCTTAAACTGCCATCTGTCAAGAAATTGATGGGAGCCTTGACCCACAGAGCTCAGAGTGGGAGGCTTCCATTATACTTAAAACATAAACAGCAGGAGACACGGGACAGAGAACAGGCGCTCGGGCCTGAGCAGGGCTGGCCAGGGCAGAGCCCATCCTCATGACAGCCAAGGCAACACTGCGTGGACTCTCTCCCTGGTCCGACCTGGACTGAGGCCCCAGCGGGAGTCAGGGATGCGTTTTCTTACCCAGGTCTCAAGACAAGCTGCCACATGTCAGAAATAATAGGCAAACGTTAGACAAAAAACACACCTCAGGGGAGGAGACTGACAACTTGGAGGAGCGGAGCATTTTGCTTGGGAATGCAGCCAGGGCTGTCCCACCACATACCATGCCTGGGTGGGTCAACAGTACTCAGTAGGAGAGTAGAGGCCACAGGCAAAGGGACCATGTGTGGGGTTAATGGGAAAATAAACAAAGTAGGAAATGACCAAGTCCATGTGATAACCGTTGGAGTTTTTCTCTCCCAAAAAGCAATTTTGGCACGATTAAAGCACCTTCCCTCTCAAGAGATCACAAAACCTTTGCTGAAAGTCTTGAGTACTCTTTTGCTAGTAGCGAAACCAATGCATTCAGAAAAGGACTGAAAAGCTGTATGGCCAGCAAGTCCACAGGCATACATGGTCTCTAGCCTGGGTTTGGGCAAATGGCCCCATAAGGTTGAATTTAAGATCCTCAGTCACTACTTCCCTGGGGAAGCTGGCTGTCTTATTTTCCTTGTGAGTCTGTGGGAGCAGGACCCAGACACTGGTCTTCTCATTTCAGGCCCCACATGTGGGTCAGACCAGGCACAGAGGCCACCCGAGCAGCAGTGGCCAGCAGTGGTGGGGTTGTTTACCGAGGGCTGGCCCTTGGAGCTCCAGGGCGTTACAGTCCTCAGCTCATGCAATCCTCACAGCTACTCCAGGAGACAGGTGTTACCGCTTCCGACTTCCTGCTGAGGAAATACAGCCAGTAACGGCAGGTGCCAGGATGCGAACCCAAGTGGGCTGTTTCCGAAGTGTGTTTGCAGCCATGCTGAAGACAATCTTGACACACTTAGGTCAGACTGAGGATGGGAGAGGCACCCAATGAAGAGAAAAACACTACAACGAACCCATTTAAGTGCAGCCACTGGTGAAACTGTTTCACGGTTATCATGGTATTTTAGTTTTTATGCCACACTCAGATATCAGAAGGAGGAAAAAAACTGTCTCTTCTCTGGCTGATAGCACATTTCTCTGCAAGTAAACAAACTATTTGGTTATGTCTCAGAGATGTGAGCAGTCAATACCCAGCCTGAGCAGTAAACAGCTCTATAAAAACACATTCCCAGATCCTATTTTCATCCTCAGATCCCTTAAATCTTCCCCATAACTAACAAGTTGACAAACTGACTTGTATGTTAAAAAAAAATCCTCAACCTGGAGCCAGTGAGCTGCTTAGAATTTCCACCATACGATTATTTACCATGTAGAAGCCACAAACAGAGCTGTGGGAGTGACTGTGAACTGAAGCTGCTGAGAGGCCTTCGCCCCTGATGGGCAATGGCAGCTTCCTCAGGTTCTCCCTTCTATGTGTGAGGAGGAGAAACAGCCAAGTGGTCTCACTTCCCAGCTATGGGAGGGTCCAGCACTCTTCCTTCTAAATAAGATTAGTTCTAGGGCCTGCAGGAATCTCTGGGAGGCTGGGAGCTTTCTAATGTTCCAACCACTCTTGGGTTTGTCTGGTGCCCACAACATCAGATTAGCCAGGGCAATGGATTTTCTCAGGACCAGCAACAGCCTGACCCCCGCCTCAGCACTCACTCATTCCTTCCTGAAAGGGCTTGAGAGGAGGGTTGTCTGGGTCTCATGACCCTACCACCTTTCACCCCAGCTCTGCCTCCCCTCCCATGCCAATCCAGAGGGCTCCTGATTTCCTCATGCACTGTCTGGTAAAACGGTTTTGGTTGACAAATGAAATTAAAATCCAGAGTTCAATGAACAAGTGTTTATATTATAACATTAGATAAGTAACTGGACTCTGAATTGATCATAATTGTGTAAAACCAATTAAAAGAGATTATAATAGAGAAAAGATTGGCAAAAGTATGTCAAAATAGTAATAGTAGCTGTCATGCTATGGGTGTTTGTTTACATTTCTTCTCTCTGTATTTTCCAAATGTTTTGTGGTACTTAGATATTACTCTAATGAGGGAAAGCAAATATAGCTGACCCTTGAACAATGTGGGAGTTAGGGGCACTGACCCCTGAGCAGTGAAAAATCCATGCATAACTTTTGACTCCAAAACTTAGCTACTCATAGTCTCCTGTTGACTGGAAGCCTTAATGATAACATAAACAGTTGATTAACACATGTTTTGTATGTTATACATATTTATATACTGTATTCTTATAATAAAGTAAGCTAGAGAAAAGCAAATGTTTCAAATTGCCATAATCTCTAAAAATTACCCAATACGTTTATTGAAAAAAATCGTGTATAAATGGACCTGTGTAGTTCACATGTGTGCTGTACAAGGGACGACTGTAGTTGAGTTAAGCTTCCTTTTAGCAACTTAGTAAATAAAGCTCAGGAGCAACCATACAGTACTTCTAAACCCAAGCCTTTAGATGTGCTGCTATGCTCTCCCACCCTACGCCCACTAAGCTACCAGATAAGCCTTGCAGGAAGTAGGGGCCACGCCCCCTGCTGGACCGCACCGCCACCAGGGCAGAGCACACCCTTCACATCCAGAAGAGGCCCATGTGGGAAGGCACCAGACTAGCCAACACTCCCACTGGCTTTCTCACCTGGCAGCCCACTCACTTCTTACCCTGCCTGGACGCACTGATGGGGTCTTGCTTATTCCTTGTTTCTAATCAAGACTGCCTCCCATCATCTGCCCTCATTCCCCTGTGAACGTTCCTACTGGTAAGATACATGTGGGGTGTCTCCTGGTGGCCCACTTTGTTTTGTTGTAACAGGAGGACTTTAAAGGTAGTTCAATGCACACATCTTCCTGTTGCACTGGTTTTAAGGATACTTTGGAAGAGTAAAGGAGGGCACAGCAACTTTGAACATCAGTCTAAAGATTTTCATTTTTTATCAGATTTAGGAGGAAAGAGTCATCAAAAAACCATTCCAAAGTTTTCTGTTGCTTTTCCGTGTAACCTCCCTTCTCCTATGCACTCAACACCTGCCCACCTCACTCCCCTTTCCCTCCATGATAGGCTCCTCATCACAATGACACCCCACCTCCCACTCTCCTTTCCTCTGATGCCTGCTTCTCAGACCACTCCCGTCCTTCAGGACTTGGTTCAAAGCCCAGTTCCTGGAGGAAGCACACCCCAGGGAACGTGGTTTGTCCCTTGGGCACTAACCTCCCAACTGAACGTGTACATGTCTGAGTTGTCTTCAGCCCACCACTCTCTTCTAACTTCCAGGTCAGTTGATCCAGATGCCTGCTGGACATCCCTGGGTACCTCCTAGGAGGCTCTCAGCATGTCAGATTGGGTCTCACCTCCACTCTTCCTCCAGGGCACCAATCTCCCAGTCTAAACATCCATCCTGCTCCCTCTGCTAAGTGGGTGGTTTCATATCCTTAACACCTCTGAAATCTGTCCTCAGCAACTTCCTATCCGTCCACATCCCAGTTGAGGCCCTCCTCATTTTGTTCCTGGACAACTACATACAGTATATGTAATAGCTATATATAATAGCTTCTTGACTGTTTCCTTCTGCCCATTCTGTACCCTACAATTAATTATCAGCATGACCCACCCACGTAGGTAAAACCCAACAAGTGAGGGCATCTCTTGGTGGCTGTGAGTGTGGCCCTGAAGTCAACCTGCCCAGGGATAGATGCTAGCTCAGGACCAAGGTTAAGTGACTTTGTGCTTCAGTTTCCTTACCTGGAAAATGGGGATAATAAAGGTGCTCTTGTCCTGTAGGCTTGTGAGAATTACATGAGTTGTCATCAAGACTCAGAACAGTGCTTGGCACTTCATTACAGGACACATACTTCACAAATATAGCTCTTATTATCATCATTAGTCTCTTAAAAGCTTTTGCTTCATAAAAGAGTGGGGGCTTGGGGGTAAATCCTGGCTCAAGGGCTGCATGCTGTCAGTATACATTTTTCCCTGGCATCTGACAACTAGGAGCATAACTCCTGTAACAGACATTGGTTACATAAACTGTAACCTGGAAAGCAAGACGAGAAAGCTCTCAGAAGGGACTCCATTCAATTGCTCTAAAAGTGGGAGGCAGACATGAGGGAAAAGGAAGGGGCTAAGTGTCCAGATGAGCTCTGTTAGAGGCTGTTTACCTGCTTTTCCTTGAAAAAGAAGAAAGCTTTCAAGTTGAGGGGGAAAGCATCTGCTCTCTCTCCCCACCCCCTCACTCAACTCCCTCTGGGCTGCAGCTTAGCTCTCCCCTCTGCTGAGAACGGTGCCTTCCCAGTCCGCATCTGACCCAGGGTCTCCTTGC